TTAAGAGCAGTTGTTACACTTGCATATGAGCAATGAACATTTCCCACCACCCACATGGCACCTTAAAATCATCTGTAACCCCAGGTCTATGGGGTTCCCTGTCACCTTTGGCCTCTTTAGGTACCAAGCATACACACAATTTCCTTACATACACAGAAGCAAAACACTCAAACATGTAAAATAAAAAGAAGTATATCTTTAAAAAAAAACACCTGCCTTCACTCATCTGTATATGACAGTGATTTTGAATGATCACAACTACTTGTGGGTTTCAGAATCTTACACTTTGCCTAGGTTTAGGCTAATACCTTCAGATAAAGATGTAAGAAAAAATCAAGTCACACATATACCTTTTAGGGACACCCTAGCAGGGAATTGTTAAATCATTAGCCTTTTAAGCAAGAGCCATCATACTGACTATTTGTGATGGATGATACAAAATGGCTCCTCTCTAGTTTCACACCTCTGTCCAACACCCAACTGTTGTAATTGTAGGCACATAATCTTTATTAATACTAGTCCTTTTATTTTTTCTCCTTTTTGCAGTCTATATTGATATTCACAGTGGTGTCTTATTATTGTGCTATTCTTACATTTAATATTGCAATGAATTTCTTTACTAAAATTATGATTCCGAATACATTTATTCTGTCAGTATTTACTATGACTTCTCTTGTATAAAATGGATATAAATATCACACAAAGAAGCCAAAACTGATACACAGCAAACCACTGTCTATGGTACTTGTTTAAGGCAATATAAATATCTGACATTAAATCCTAAGTGAGATTAATAAATGGATCTTTTAGATTCATGTCATTACTTGCATAAGTGAGAATAGTGAATATAAGCTCACATAATTAATCTAATAGTGCATTATTCTAGCTCATGTGCCACTGAGATGAGCTTAGCAAGCTTGGTTAGTATGCTTAGAATGATTGCATTTTTTGAGGGTGCTATGTTAGTTTATGTTTCTCTATTCTCAGACAGTGATTGTTTTTCATTTATGTAGTTGATAAGCAGAAGGCAACCCTGTTTTTTGCAAAGATTCTTCTGAGAAGTCTGAGTCACTACTTCTCTTTTCCTGTAACATCTAGGAGGCTTCTGTATCTGGCATTTTAAATTCTTGTCAATGCGTGCTAGAGACCCAGGCTTCGTTACTGCTGTTCATTTGAAGCAACCTAGAATGGGGAAGGAACAACATACTTTGAATTGAGGGTAACACATGGATGGGATTCTCCTATTGCATGTTGGTGAATACAACTCCATCTCAAAATTTGAAGAGAGCTCTCTCAGTAAAAAAAAAAAGTATAAGAAATAAAAAGTTGATTTCATTGGGCAGAGTCTACTTTACAGTGGCTCACTGTTATTATATACTGTAGAATTGAGAGTGGCCTGTAGTACCAGTTTAATGATAGACTAGAATTTCCTCATTTTATCTGCCCACATGATCATGATGGCTCCATGGCTTAGAAGCCAAGGCCTCTCTACCTTTGTGCCCTGATTTAAGAGCAAAAAGGACAGCATTTCCGTTGCATTCTGGATTTTTTTCTCCTGGCCTCTAGAGATACTTGTTTTGATTTATAGAAATGGAAGTCAACTATCCGATCCTCCCCCAAACTGGCACTAATTTTTAATAGGTGTTACTTGAAAAGTTATCAGACAGACCTAAACAGATAAGGTTTTCTTCTTTGGAAAGCTCCAAATCTGTATATTTTGTTGTACTATAAAAATCGTAGCACCTCCTGAAGAAAGCACAGGAATTAGATGAAACTGACAGGACATGTATCAACTCTTCTATTAATGTGTTTGGAGCTTATACAAAGTATCTTCTTTGTATGTGCAAACATATTGCTATTATTTTCATATTCTATGCCTCCCCAGGAACATATGCATGTCGAATTGTGATAAAGTAGTAGATGACATCCCTTGGAGTTTGCAAGGAAGGGCTAGAGAAAGGGGTTTGGCACACCCTTCATTTTTCACATGCATGGCTATTCATGCAGTCATGATGTAAAACTGTGTTGGCATTTGAAGAATTGTCCTAGCTCTGTGGCAGGCACTTCTCTTGTTGGTGATGATGCTCATTTGTTATTTGTTTTCAAATATGCAAAATTCTGCTTGCTTCATTCTTAAGCACTGAAATGGTTCAGGAAACATCCACATTAAAGATGTTGTTTTTATTTTCACCCAGATATGCAGAGTTTTTCCTTTAGTCAGTAAATACCTTAAGTGAGGTCAAGTGCCATGCCCACAGTTGTCTTCAAATCTGTAGTTAACATGGATAAAATCTTTGCCATCAAACTACTTCCAAAAGCTTTTCTCTCCTGTGCCATTTATTCTTTTTTTTAAAAAAATAAAGGAACTTGTATGTGTACACACACACACACACACACACACACACACACACACACACACACACACCACACACACACACTCACACACACACACACACACACACACACACAATACAAGTATACAAGGCAGGTGTGTTATGTATCGGCTCATTTCAGGAAAGCCCCTTATTTTAGCTTCTTATTCTTACAAAAATGGGAGTCACAACATACAGTTCTAATTGATATTCTCTCTCTCTCTCTCTCTCTCTCTCTCTCTCTCTTTGTGTGTGTCTGTGTGTGTGTGTGTGTTTGTGTGTGTGTGTTTGTATGGTAGACACACCTATACTTAATTTATATGCATTCACATATGAATTCCTTTGCCTTTGTATTTCTTCAAGTCTTATAACCAATTCCAGTCCTGCCAAGGCTTTTATTTTTGTAAAGATTAAGCTGATCTTATAAACATTGTACAATATGATGAAAATTTTCATTAGGTCATCCTTATATAAGAGTGTCATAAACATCAATTAAGCTGGAAAATTAGGGCTATAAACAAACCATTTTAATGCATTTTTATTTAATGGTTAGGCAGTTAACCCTTCATCCATGCTTTGGTAAAATAGTCTTTGTAGAAAGCTCCTGTGAGAGGCAAATAAAAGACAGCCTTGAATGAACCTGAGCTGGAAAGATTTAAAAAATGTTACTGTAATAATTGGGAATTCTAACTGTTGAGATCTTCCGTGGTAGGGCTAAAGCAATCAACAAAACCTTTATGATTTAGTAGCAAGGGATGGACTGTACATATTTTTGGTGTTGCTTAGTTAGGGTTTTATTGTTGTGAAGAATCACCATGACTATGACAACTCTTAAAAGCAAGGAAAACATAGTTGGGGCTATCTTATAGTTTCAGAGGTTTTGTCCATTATCATCATGGCATGAACCATGGCAGCATGCAGGTAGACATTGCGCTAAAGAAGGAGTTGAGAAGCTGGGTGTTGGTGGCACACGCCTTTAATCCCAGCACTCAGGAGGCAGAGGCATGCGGATCTCTGTGAGTTCCAAGCCAGCCTGGTTTTCAGAGCGAGTGCCAGGATAGGCTCCACAGCTACACAGAGGAACTCTGTCTCGAAGAAAAAAAAAAAAGAGAGAGAAGGAGTTGAGAGTTCTACATCTTGATCCACAGGCAGCAGAAGGAGACTGTGTGCCACACTGGGTGTAGCTTGATACCTCAAAACCTGCCTCCACAGTGACACACTTCTTCCAACAAGACCACATGTACTGCAACAAGGCCACACCTCCTAATTGGACCAGTCTCTATGGTGGAAACATTCAAACACATGTGTCTATGGGAGCCATACCTATTCAAACCACCATAGGGGTGCACTGTGATATGCTAATGCACATAT